GGGGGGGGAGGGGCGGCGCAGGAAGAGTGACGGTCGGGTGGCGGCTGGGGGCTATTTGAGGCGCCGCACAGGAAGGCCGGTGCCCGTCCGCGCACCGTCCTCTCCCCCCCCCTCGTTTGTTGTGTTTGTCTTTCCTCCACTCATCCAAGGACCCCTCTCGCCACAATGACCGGTGTTCTCGCCAAGGACATCAAGATCCACTCTGTCGGTGCTCTGCACACCAGCGACTACAAGGCCTACTTCGGTACGTCGGCATGTGTCTCCTCGCCCATCTCTCTCCCTCTTTGTGTGTGTGTGTCCTGTCTGACCCGGGTCGCTTTTGACTATCCCCCCCCCCCCCCCGCCCCTCACTCGCTCCTGGACGTGCCGACCCAGCCACCGAGAAGGGCATCATCTCTCCCTTCCATGACATTGCCCTCCTGCCCGAGGGTGTCACCTCCATCGACCAGGGTATCTACCAGATGGTCAACGAGATCCCCCGCTGGACCAACGCCAAGCTCGAGGTTCGTGCACGCGCAGTGATCTTCCCCCCCTTGCTGTGCCCTTGCTGGCCGACAAACCACCCTGGCTGCCGCCGTTGCCAGTGCCTGCCAGCATCTCCATTGCTGGCTGTCTCTCATATGCTGACTCCCATGGTACCCTTTTGTGGCTCCCCGGCCTGGGTGGGGGAAACACACATCCACACACATCCGCACACACACACACACACACATCCGCACACACACACACACACACATCCGCACACACACACACACACACACACCCAACACCGCCGGAACCACAGATCACCAAGGACTTCGACCTGAACCCCATCGTCCAGGACAGCAAGAAGGGCAAGCTCCGCTACGTCCCCAACTGCTTCCCCCACAAGGGCTACATCTGGAACTATGGCGCCCTTCCCCAGACCTGGGAGAACCCCACCATCGTCGACGAGTCCACCGAGTGCCTTGGTGACAACGACCCCGTCGATGTGTGCGAGATCGGCTCCGTCATCCACCCCACCGGTGCCGTCCGCACTGTCAAGCTTCTCGGCTGCCTGGCCCTCATCGATGAGGGCGAGACCGACTGGAAGCTGATCGTCATTGACACCGCCGACCCGCTGGCCGACAAGATGAACGGTACGCCCCGCATGCGCACACATGCGTCGCCCTGCCCCTCTCCCCCCCCCCTCCCCCTCCTCGCCGCAGTTGCTTGCCTCCCGTCGATTCTGATGCGTCTGTGCTGCTGACACTCTCTCGCCCATGCTCTGCACATGGCACAGACATCGAGGATGTGGAGACCCACATGCCCGGCCTCCTGAAGGCCACCGAGGAGTGGTTCCGCATCTACAAGATGCCCGACGGCAAGCCCGAGAACTCCTTCGCCTTCAACGGCGAGACCAAGAACCGCGCTTTCGCCATCGAGGTCGTCAAGGCCACTCACCAGCACTGGCTTGAGCTGATCAACGGCAAGGTCCCCCACAAGACCGAGAAGTACTCCGTCACTGTGTGCGTCTTTCCCCCCCCCCCCCCCCCCCCCCTCTGTGTCGCCTTACCCCGTGCAGCAGAGCACCTTCCTTTCTTCGCGGGCGCGGTCGTGCATGCATTCTCGCGTGCCGCGCTCAGCACGCCAGCCCAAAGGGGAGTAGCCAGCCCCTCCATCGCATGTGGGGGGCACTGCTCCTCGTGGTGTGAAACAAACTGCCCCGCCGGATCCCGGCTGGGGCCTCCTCTGGTGGCCATCTGATCGCAACTGACACACCTCCTGCCGCCTGCCCTGTGCTCTCCTGCCCCCGGCCTCCCTCCATTTCCAGTGCCACCACCACTGTCGCCGACAGCCCCTACTACGTTGCCTTCGACTCCGAGACCGTCAAGTCCATCCCGGCCGCCGACAACCTGGCCCCCGCCGTCGACCAGATCCCCGCCTCCGTGGACGTCTGGCACTACGTCAGCACTCTGTAAATGGTGTGGTGTGGTGTGCGTGTGCGTGTGCGTGTGCGTGCCCCCCCTCCCCCCGCCCCTGCAGGGGAGTGCGGCCGCATGCCCTGGTGCGCCCTGCTGTGAGCCGCCTCTGGCGGCTGTCCACGAGAGACAGGCCCACGGCCGTGGCCGTGGTGTGTGACCCCCTCCCCCCCTGCTCACCTCACAATATACAGCCGTGAACTTTCCTTCCTCCCATTGCTGCCCGGGTGGCGACCAACAAGTGCCCCTCCATTTATGTTTCTTTGTTCGTTCGATCGAGAAAGCGGGCCGCAAACGCATCTGGCAAAGGGCTACGGGGGGGGGGGGGGGCACCAGGCGCCGTGTGTAGCGACGCGGGGGGCCGAGGCGGGGAGGCGGTGGCCGGGGGCACCCCAACAAAAACTGGACACCACGGAACCCATCGCATGTGACCTGCATCCGTGGGCATGTCCCACATCGGCGAGGAAACCCAGGCAGCCGGGGACGAACGAGAAAACCCCGGGGCTGGCAGGGCCGGGGGACACCAACACCAGGAGCCCGGCAGGCAACCTGGAGGCGGCCCCGGCACAGTCTCCGCCTGTCTAGCTTCTCTCTCTCTCTCTTGCACAGGGTGGCTGCTGCCACCTGTCAGGCCCTCTTCCCTACGGGCAACACTAGGCGAAGCGGAATGTCACATCCAGTCGGGATAGACACAGTCAGCGAGTCACCCGCGTTCCGGAACCCGATCCACCAGGGTTGGCCCCGGGGGAGGGGTACTAAATAACAACACCCCAACTTCGGCCCAGACACCGTGGGGAGGGGGGGGGTCACCTCGGGGGGGGGGGGGGGGGGGGGGGGGGGAGGGGGGGGGGGGGGGGGGCGGGGGGGCGGGGGGGCGGGGGGGCGAGACCATCCTCCAGAGTACCCAGCCTCCAGATCGCGCTTGTCATTGAAGCCGGTGGCGAGGCGTGGCGACGGGGAGGGAGGGTCCCTCGCCCCTCCCCTTGTGGCTGGTCCATTCAAAGCGCGCTAGCAAGGCTCTCCCAGCCTACCTTCCTCTAGCCCCAACATCCTTCCCCCATTTCCTCCTTCCCCCCCCCCTCCTTCTCCTGCTGCTCCTCCCCCTGCCTCACACGCAGCTTGCCTTCGTTCATCGGCGCGCGCCTGTTGATTGAGCACACGCACACACGCATCTCCCCATGTCCGATAGCTATCAGCCCCTCGGCGACTCGGCACAGCCGCCCCAATACGGGGAAACCGTCCCGCAAACCTCCTACTATGATAAGGAGGTCGGCTTCGGTGCCCAGCCCGATCAGTTCAACGATCCCGTCCTTTCTTCGGCGCCCGATGATCTGGAGGCCGGAGCCCCGGCAGTCGGGGCCCAGCGCTCTGAGAGCCGCTTCGACACCACCCTCGGTCTTCCCCTTGGCGCTGAGGCGGCTCTTTGTTACATCTTTGGCTGTTTGACTGGTGCGTGCCGTGTCATGCACACTCTGCCCCCCCCCCCCTCCATACACACACACACACACGTATTCTCACACTCACCTCGACACCTACTCCATTCGCAGGTGCCTTCTTCCTTATCTGCGAGCGGAAGAACGACTATGTCCGGTTCCATGCTTGGCAGAGCTGTATTACCTTCGGCATTATGCTGGTGCGTGTGCTTTGTTTCTGCGTCTTCCTCTCAGGCTTTCACCCGCCCTCTGACACCTGCACATCTCCAACACACCCACAACCTAACTTTCTCACTTACTCTCGCACACACACACACACACACACACATACACACTTTCCCTCCGGAACAGCTCATCCACCTTATCTTCATTTGGTCGATTTTCAGCCTGATCCTCATTGCCTTCGATCTGATGCTCATCATCTTCCTGATGTGCGTGTCCAGTCTCCGATCCTTGCTTGCTGTGTGCACCGCCTCTCCTTCCCTTCCCTCCTGGCTGACCCCCTCCCCCCCCCCTCCCATCCCACTCCGCCTCTCGCTCTCAGGTACATGGCTCACGCCCATGCTGACGCCCTGCATCGGTTCAAGATCCCGCTGATTGGTGCCCTCGCCGAGAAGTGGGTTGACGAGGAGTAATCGCTCCTACTTTCCGCGCTCGCCGCGAACCTGCCCAGCCCCTTCCCCCGCCTGATCCCCCTCTCTCGCCTCCTGTAAACTATACCCCCCCCCAAAAAAAAACAAGCCCCCAAAGAGTGCGCACACGACAAAGAGGACGGTGAAACACTAGCAAAGACTTGTTTGCTCCTTCATTTTTCTGGTCGCCTCTCTTTTCTCTGAGAGCGCCGACACAAAGCACACACAGGGGCATATGCGCCACATCTACATGTTTAGGGGGAGGGGGGGGGGGAGGCGCATATGCATGCGCGCGCGTGGCCCTGCTCAACTCCAGAGAGCGGACGGAGGACAGGGTCATACCCGGAGAGACAGAGAGAGAGGGAGAGAGAGAGAGGGAGAACCGGAGGAAACCGCCTACTTGGCAAAGTCATCGACCCCGCCGTCCGGCGCAGCCATCTCCACATCCGGGGCCTGCTCGGCTCCTCCTCCATGCTGCATCGAAGCGGTTTCGTAACCGCCAGAGCAGCTGCTCTGCCGCGTCTCCGGCTCATCCTCCTCCATGGAAATGAAAGTGCTGTACTCCTGGTCCACGAACTTGATCCAATCGCTGACCTTGGCCTTGAGGCGCTCGCGACGGATGGCCGCCGGGTCACGCGACTCATGGTCAATGAAGCGCGCCAGGTTGAAGAGGGTGTCGAAGAAGAGCGGCGCAAAGCCACTCTTGCGAATGTCGGCCAGTGTCAGGACCGTCCCCCGGGCTGGGTGGATGTAATCCAGCATTTGGCACAGCATGTCCTCAAAGTTGAAGGCGTCGATGTTGGCCTGGCGCAGGCGCATCAGCTGCTCCTCATAGAAGAACTCGATCTCATACATGGACAGAATCCCATCGCCATCCATGTCCAGGCAGTGGAACCAGTATTCCATGGCGGTTTCCGTGGTCTTGTCCACCTCCGACAGGAGGAACCAGCAGAACTCGTGATAGTTCATGCACTGGGTGTGGGCCTTCGGCGCGCACAGCCCCCAGCCTCGGGCTACCCGGTCCACGATGCGGCTGGTCAGGGTGCCCCCCTCGTATCGCTGCAAATCCGCCCGGCTGATGACCCCATCATGGTCGGTGTCCAGCTCCCAGAACTTGCAGTAGATCACATAGAAGTGCTTGTACGAGAAGAAGTCGTCGCTCTCGCTGACATTGATGCGCTCCAGCTGGGCGATCAGGTCGTGCAGGCGCGCGCGTCGCCACTGGGCCAGGGTGATCCGATCGTAGCGGCCCCGGTCGATGTGGTAGAACACCCGGATGCACACGGTCTGCACGTAGCGGTTCAGGAAGTGCGACGCCTCGCGCAGGAAATCCAAATTCGGGTGAAGGTTGACCACGGCTGGGAGTGGAGCAGGCGCAGCCCCGCCGTCAAGGGGGGAATCCCACCCGGGGGGGGGGGGGGGGGGGAGGCGGGGGCGAAGGCGAGGCGGAGGAAGGCGGTAAGTCATGGGCCGATTCCGGGCAAACGGCCAAAAGCCCCGACGTACAGAGGACCACGGGCGCGAAGCACCGGTTCGTCAGGTGCGTGGCATACAGCCCGCCCGAGGCGATGATGGCAAATGTCCGGCTTGCCGGGCAGTGGCGCTCCCGGTGCAGCGTCGTCCAGAAGTCACAGAAGCTCTCATACGACACGGACTCCGGGACCTCGCTGTAGTGTGGCAGGGCGGCCGTCGAGCCGGCCCCCGAGCCGGCCGAGTCGCTGTCCGAGTCCGAGTCGGAATCGACCTCGATCGGGGGGGCTGTCCCCGGGGCCGGGGCACCCATGGCTCCATGCCCAGCACGCATAAATAGCGACAGGTTCAGGAAGGGCGATAGCCCACAGGCGCGCGTTACCTCGAGGAAATTCTGCTCGCCGAGGACACCGCCGTTGGCGCGGAAGAGCGGGGCAATCACCTGGGCCTATGTGCGAGGGGAGGCCCCGGCAGCCGGCAAAAGGGAGCCCGAAGACCGAGCCGAAGGCGGGGACATAGAGAGAGAGAGAGAGAGAGAGAGAGGTCGGCGCATTGTGTCAGCCGAGGCCACAAGTCGCCATGCAGCGCGCCCCCGCCAGGCGGGATTGAGAGAGGCAGAGAGGGACAAGGGAAATGAAAGAAGTCCCATGGTAGGCTCCCGCAAAAGCACCACACCACGCACCAGGAATTTGGGGCTGGCACGGTCTGGCTCGGCCGAGCTCCCGGCAAAGAGGGCCAACAGCGACGACGAAGAGGAAGACCCACTGACCAGCGGTGCGGCCTCTTCCGGCCGGCCGAAGGGGAAGTAAAACTGGGGGATGCGCGCGGCCAGTGCGGTGGCCGGGGTGCCGGTGCCGGCGCCGGTGCCAGCGGTTGCCGGAACCGGGTCACTGCCGCTGCCGCTACCGGCGCTGATCGGGCGCGGACTGGTCCCCAGCATGACCACATCCTCCGAAGAGGCGGAAGAAGAGGGGTCGGACAGGGCCGCGGCCGCCGGCGTGGTCGAGGAGGTGCTGCCGGTCGCTGGCGGCGGCGACACCAGCACCAAGTCCGATGCCGGGCCCCCGGAGAGCCCGGACTCGGAGGTGTCTGACGATGGCGACCCGGCTCCGGACAGCAGCGACGAGGGGGGCGGCGACCGGGCCGACATGTCCGGCGACATGGACGCATCGGAAGCCAAGTCCTCCGGCATGGGCGCCACATGTGGCTGCTTGACCGGCTGCTTGGTGGCCCAGCCGCTGGGAAGGGACCCCTCGGCGTCGTCGATCTCCAGATGCGCGCACCCGGAGTCCGGATGGAGCATGGCCGCATCCGGCACGGCTGGCGACACATCCGTCAGCGACAGGCCGCGATCGCCGGGAACCGGCGACTGAGGGGGCGGCCGATCGTCAAAGTCCCGGCTGCTGGCCCCACCACCGGGCCCGGAGGTGGTTACCATCGTGGCCGAAGCCGCTGCCAGCATGCCATCATGCGGCGGCGACGACAACATCGGCCGGCCGCTGGCCGACAGAAGGGGCTTCGGCGACCGCGGTGGGGGCGATGCAAAGGGCGCGTCCTCGCCCATCATGGCCGACGGCGAGCCGGGAAGCATGCGCGATGTGGGCGGCGACTGAACACTGATGCCGCTGGCAGAGCCGACCCCCCCTGGCGGGGACATCAGCGACGTCGCCCCGCTGGAAGACAGGAGTATCGGAGATCCGGCTGATCCGGCGCCGCCGGCGAAGGCCCCAGGTGGCGAGCCAAAAAACCCGAACGTCGGCGAGCCCACCCCCCGGGTGGGGGACCCTTCAAAGGTCCCGGCACGCCGGGTGCTTCCGGGCCGGGTGGGCGAGGCAAACCCATCACCGTGGTTGGATTGCAACCCGAGGGCAGCAAGCTCCTCTGTGGAACACACGCCGGTCATCGTCAGAAAAGGGCAAGAACATCACTACCAGGGATGATGGCCGGCAGACGAGCACATACCCTCGGGAATGATGGGGTACCGCTCGGGGGACTTGAGCAGTTCATTGAAATTGTCCGACTCCTCCTTGAGGAAGGTGGCAACATCACGCAGGGGGCTGCCCAGGCGACCGCCCGGAGTCAGGCGGGCCGTGTGATCTGGGGGCCGGCGCGGGGCGGGGGCGGGGGCCGGCACAGGCAGCGGGGAGGTCACAGTCAGCACTTGGCCAGGCCCTTCGAGCCAGGGAATGCAAGGGGCAGAGAGGAGGGCGGAGGGCGAAGGGCGAGACATCAGAAGAGCCACATGAGCATACCCTTAGACTTGGATGCCCGAGTGGGGGACATGCGCGGGCTGAGCCCGGAGCCCGAGAGGCCGAACTGGCGAGGCAGGGCACACCTGTGAGTAACGACTGGCTGCCCTTGTGAGGGCCTTTCTTTGCCGCTCGAGGATGCCCCAGAAAAGGAGGCGCACGGGGGGGGGGGGATGTACCTTTGTCGGGGTCTTGGGCGACTGGGGCGGATCCATCATGAAGAGGTTGTACGACCGGAGTCGCGAGGGGGAGATGAAAACCCCCGATGCCGAGGCGGTCGACCCGTGGGACAGCGCCGGTGCCGCCGGCCCAGGGACCGCAGCCACCGATGAGTCCATGCCGGGCAGGCCGAAGGTCAGTGACACCGGCGAGGGGGCCGGCGGGGCCACCGTCTGTGGAGGGGTCCGCGTGCTGGCGCCCGGAGTGGAGCAGGCCGGCGAAGCCGGAGCCACGGCCGACGAAGTGCCCGAGGGTGCGGCCGAGGGTGAAGGGTCGGCCATGGTGCCGCGTCGAGGGGTGGAAAATAAGTCCGCCACGGAGGAGGGGCCACTGAGGCTGCTGTTGCTGCTGCCGCCGCCGCCGAGGGGTGCCGAGGGCGGGCTGAAGGGCGCCGAGGCAGGGGGGTAGTGGAGAAGGGTGTCCTGTGCGGCGGAAGGGGGAGGTGGTGTGGTGGCCAGGCCGCCGCAGCTGTCAGTCACCGAAGGAGCATGCGCGAAGAGCTCGCTGTCTTGGCTGCAAGCAACCATCGGCGAGGAGAGGATGTGCGGGTCATTTGCGGTCTCCGGGTGCACAGCCACGAAGGACAGCCTCCGACGCCGGGGCTGGCCAGCCGGGTCTTGCGAATCGCTGGCATTCATGCTGGGCACAGGAGGGGAAAGGGGGGCAATCGAGAGGGAGGGAGGAGGGGGGGACAAACATTCGTACGATTGGGTGGGCATGAGAGAAGCCGGCAATGCGGGGGAGGGGGTGAGGGGATGGGCGATCAGTCGTTGAGAAGCAGCAGGGCGGAGGATCGGGAGGGATGAGGGAGATGAAGCGCGGCTCGGCAGGCACGATTGAGGCTCGTGTGCATGTGAGAGTGTCGCATTGCGCAGAGGAGAATCGCTGGGGCGCGGGGGGAGGGGGGTGAAGTGGAGCCCAACTCCCTCGGGGTGTCGATGCAAATCGCCCGAAGGGGGAGCGCACTCCCGGAAGGGGAAATGGGGGATCTCGTTTGCGAATACGG